CCAATATGAAGTTGAGTTGGAAACCTGAGGGGGACTTATTTTGTATTTCACTGGTTGAAGTTAGGGAAAAGTGGAAATAGAGAGAGTAGCAGGGATGCAGCTCATGGATGCTATCGTGACTTAAGTCATAGTAAGAATTTTTTTTAAGTATTTTTTTTTTGATAATTTAAACAGTTTATATTATAAGATTTTTTTAATAAATTATCCATGAAAAAAATTAAATTGATTGAAAATCTATAACTCTATAATAAAAACATATTGGTAGCATTTGGAAGAGTTTTAGAATTATGATTTGAGAATATAGTTGTTTTTTGAATTTGTGAGTTTTAGAATTATGATTTGAGTGTGAAAAATTTGTTTGGTTATGAATTTTGAAAAGAGTTTTGAATTTTTATTTTTTTTTTGGAACCAGGAAAGTAGAGAAACAGAGACAAGTAGAAAGAAACAAAAAACTCAATGCTCTTGCAGCAGCAGAGCTAGAGTAGAGAGTGGATTTGGGACCCAATCAAGCAGAAGAACTCCGTGAAGAGAAGCTTGGGCCACCCAATGAGCTGCTTGATTTGCTATTCGAGGTTTCCAACTGAAGGCCAAATTTCCATGCGTAGCCAAGCGCTTGATGTCGTCGATTATCACATTGCAATCCCAAGGCGGATCAGTTTCAGAAACACACAAGAAGATTACGGTCTTGTTATTTCCTTCGATCTCCACCATATTCAGGTTGCGGGCTTGTGCCAATTGACAAGCACACCTACAAGCTAAAGGTTCTCCTTGAAGGGAAGATGAAGCTCTCCAAGATTGAGTAAGACCATCTAGCAATCTACCCCTTGAATCCCTCAACAGAATAGCAACAAAAACTTCTGAAGAGCCTTTTTTAATTGCCACATCACAGTTGATCTTGTAGGTCCTCGGATTCGGGGCTTGCCAAATTATATTTCTCTGTAAAGAGCCCCCCTTATTCTGAATTGGCCTTTCTTCTCTACAAGTTGCCTTATCAAACTCCAATTTTGCCGTTCGAGCTCTAAACAAAGTCGAGAAGGGCGCTACCTCAATATGATTGAAAACAAAATTGTTTCGGTCTTTCCAAATAAACCACCTGATCCAAAAAATGAGACTAAAAAAACTCTGCCACTCCTTTGATGACTCAAACTTGTCCAACAAATCACTCGACCATTTGAGGACCGAGAGGTTTGGACCACCTTCAATATTAAATTTTAGGTCACTGCCAAACCAGACAGCTCTTACCCATTCACAACCGAATAAAAGATGTTCAATTGTCTCAAGGTATTTTTGACAGATTGGGCAAATCCAAGTCCCCGCATATTTCCTGCGAAATGGATTCTCCTTTGTTGTAAGCACATTCTTACATACAGGGCACCAAAAGTGTCTTAGCTTTGGAGGGATTTTTAGTGCCCAAATCAATTTCCACAACTTTCTTGAAGGGTGAAAAGAAGATTGAGGAGTTTGAGAGAGCTTACTACACGTCTCTGCCCTTGCCACATTATAACCCGACGTCACCGAATATTTGTTGTTTAGTTCAAAATGCCAAACAAGAGAATCTGCTTTTGCTTCTAAAGCGATAGAAATGGAGCTTATGGCCTCAATTTCTGCTTCAGAAATACAACACCGAAGAGAGCTTTCCTTCCATCTCTTGGATAGGGGGTCTATAGCATCCGATACCTTCTGAATATCATTTCCTTCAGGTTTTGGGGAGGTCACTTTGAAACTTGGAATTGAAGGAATCCATCAGTCTTCCCAGAATTGGACATCAAAACCACTATTTACTTGCCAACGAACACCTTGCTGTAGAATGTTCCGACCTTGAAGAATACTTGCCCAAGCCCATGACGCCCGACGACCTTTTGTAGCTTGCATAAAATTTGAGTGGGGGAAATAAATGCCTTTTAGAATTCGCGCACAAAAAACGTGAGGATATTTCATCAAGTGCCACCCTTGCCAAGCCAAAAGAGCCAGATTAAAAGTATTGAGATCTCGGAAACCCAGCCCACCATCTAGTTTTGACATTCCCATGATTCCCCAGCCAATCCAATGGACCCCTTTTCCCTCCGGATCACCCCCCACCAAAAATTGCTGATGTAGGAATTTAATTTGGCACAAAACTTCTTTGGAAAGGCAAAACAAGCCATTGCATAAGCAGGGATAGCTTGAACCACAGCTTTAATTAGAACTTCCTTTCCTGCTTGAGACAACAATTTTTGCTTCCAACCTTGCAATTTAGAGAGAACCTTCTCAAGGATATATTCAAAGGCTTCTGCTTTTGATCGCCCCCAAAAGGAAGGCAAACCAATATATTTTGCATCAGGCTGAGACATTCTGAGACTTGAAAGGTTACAAATCAAGCTACAAATGGCTGGAGAAGTATTAGAAGAAAATTGCACACTTGATGTATCGAAATTAACCACTTGTCCCGATGCTTCGCAGTCAAGCCATTGCATAAGCAGGGATAGCTTGAACCACAGCTTTAATTAGAACTTCCTTTCCTGCTTGAGACAACAATTTTTGCTTCCAACCTTGCAATTTAGAGAGAACCTTCTCAAGGATATATTCAAAGGCTTCTGCTTTTGATCGCCCCCAAAAGGAAGGCAAACCAATATATTTTGCATCAGGCTGAGACATTCTAAGACTTGAAAGGTTACAAATCAAGCTACAAACGGCTGGAGAAGTATTAGAAGAAAATTGCACACTTGATTTATCGAAATTAACCACTTGTCCCGATGCTTCGCAGTAAATCCGAATAAGATTCAGCACATGCTGACATTCTGAGGTCTCCACTTTTAGAAAAAGGAGAATATCATCGGCAAACAATAAGTGGGAGAGAGTGGGGCAATGTCGTGTGATCTTCAAGCCTGTAATCTCTTGGACTCAGAGACTGCGAGTAATGAGATTGGAGAACACATCCGCAACCAAAATAAATAAATAAGAAGACAGGGGGTCCCCTTGTCGTAGCCCACGGGTTAGAATGAAGGAGACTCTTTTTTCACCATTTACAACAATAGAGAAGGTTACCGTAGTCACACATTCCATAATCCATTGGATCCAAGTACGATGGACACCCAATTTCTACAAAACTTCATATAAAAAATCCCATTCGATGCGGTCATACGCTTTGTTGAAATCGAGTTTTATTGCCATATTTCCCAACTTTCCACTCTTCTTAAGCTTCAAAGAATGAAAGGCCTCATGAGCCACAAGGATATTATCTTGAATCCAGCGCCTGGGAACAAAGACAGATTGATTTTGGAGAGATGAGGGCCTTAAGAATTTTCTTCAATCGATTTGCAAGAATCTTGGTTATGATTTTAATACTAAAATTACAAAAACTAATGGGCCGAAATTGCGAGATATTGACTGGGTGGGCCACCTTTGGGATTAGAACCAGATTTGTCTGGTTTAATTCTTTGAGCAAATGACCTCCCAGGAAAAAGCTCTTCACGGCTAAGCAAACATGCTCTCCAACTTCCTGCCAATAAGTTTGATAGAAAAAACCTGGAAATCCATCAGGCCCAGGAGCTTTGAGTGCACCCAATTGAAACACTGCTGTTCGAATTTCGGCATCACACACCGGAGCTATCAAAACACGGTTCATATCTGCTGTGACCAACGGTTCAACCACTGATAAAGCTTCCCCTATGTCCCGATTCCCAACACTGGTAAATAGGTGTGTGAAGTAACCTAGCATATGTTGATCAATCTCCATATCACTATTTAACCAAGACCCATCCTCGGATTGAAGCTGAAGAATTTGATTTCTTTGCCTCCGTTGAATCATGGAAGCGTGGAAAAAACTAGAGTTCTTATCCCCATAATTTACCCATCTAACTCGCGACCGTTGATGTAAATACATTTCTTCCCAAGCTAGCAACAGTTCCAAATCAGATTTAATTATATTCTGAAGATTCAAAATATCATCGGAAACAGGTAGGATTTGAAGAGCAGCCAACTCCGACTTAAGACGGGTGATCTGAATTTTATTATTCCCAAAATGTTCTTTGCTCCATACTCTTAGCCCATCCCGACAAGCTTGAAGTTTTTTGACTAATTTAAACATAGGAGAACCACCTTGGCTGACGCCCCAATTCAATTTAATCACATCCACACATGAAGGACTTGTGGACCACATTGATTCAAATTTAAACATCCTGGGGATTTTCTTTAGAAGAACACAGCAATTTAGAACCAAGGGACAATGATCAGACCCGAATTGAATTTCATGAAAGACTTGAGCATATGGAAATAAGGCCCTCCAATCAACAGTAGCAACTGCTCTATCCAAATGTTCCCGGACATTACCTTCCCCTCTTTGATTATTTGTCCAAGTAAAGAGAGCCCCTTTGAACTCCAAATCCATTAAGGCACAATCAGACAGTAATTTAGAAAAAAATTGAAGCTGACTCATGCGACACTCAGCCCCACTCTCTTTTTCTTCTATCAACCCAATTTTGTTGAAATTGCCGATACATACCCAAGGATACTCATTTTTCTCTGCTATGGATGTGCTCTACGAGTTCGATTTAGGTTTTGAATTGAGTTTGAAATTTTTGATGTGACACATTTTGATTAAAAAACTTACAATTCATAACCAAATACACAACCGAAAATTCTATTCAAAGCTTATAAAAATTTATAAAAAAAAAATTCAAAAATATTTTTTTATTTAAAATAAAAAAAAAAAACTAAACTGTTCCAATCAACCAAATGACTGGCTAAACATGTGTTTCAAAAGTAGATATGAAATCAATGTTTGAAAATTATAACTAAACACAACACTCAAACCAAGGTATGAAATTAAATTTCCAAAAGTCCACCAAACACAACCATTTATTTTTTAAAAAATAAACAGTTAAAATAATATTGATAATTTTTTTTTTTTTTAAAACAATTTAAGTTTGATCATGGAATTATTAATTTCTAATTAATTTAATTTTTTATATAAATATTGTAGCCCTACCGTATAAACCAACCGAGGAAAGTGAGGAAGCGGATCCCCAAATAAAGTGGTTAAATTTTCTACTTCTGTTTTCTAGGTTTTCATTGTCGTTCTCTGCGGGAAGGTGGGAAGGAAGGTATGGCTTCCGATCTGTGCATCGAAAGGAACGATTCCAAATGGGAGATTGTGTCTGCTTCTCCTGCTAAGAAGCAAAGGTACGAGGGTTATGCTTCCTCACCACCACCACTGCCATGTTCATCAGCAAAAGAAGAAAAAGAAGACCCTAGATCTGAAATCGTATTCTATAACTATGATGATGATTCAGATGTGGAAGATGATAGTGATGGAATGCATGAGTTTACTGATAAGGAATTGCAAGAGTATGATAGACAGTTAACCCAAAGTGATGTATGTATATCTTATCTAGCTTCTCTTAATACTTCCCTTTTTCATTTATCTCTATTTTCTTCGAAATCCTATTTACCATATTATTATTATTATTATTATTATTATTGTAATTGTTATAATTCTGGGCTTACAATACAAATACATATACAGGGTTTTGATGTCATGTACTTCCCACGCTCCTTTGCGTTCGGTACAACAATGCCGGTTTTTAACCTCGATGAGATTGCCAACAAACTCAAAATTTTTTCGGAATTAGCTCTTAAGCAATTCAATGAGAAAGAGGTGTATTACTTATTTCTTTATTCAATTATATAGTTTTGTTTTGTTATGCCTTTAATTAGCCTTTGTTGTTGTTCATATATATATATATTGGAAAATATATGTGTGCAGGGTAGGAATCTGGAGTTTGTGAAGATTGTCAAGGCAAACAGGACAATTTGTGCTGGGAGTAGGTATTATATTACGTTTGACGTCAAGGATGCCAATGCTGTTGATGATGGTACTATGGAATTTCAAGCTTGTGTCTGGGGTGGGATCGGCCACACTGATGTACTCATTTCTAGGCTGAAAGCCAGCACCTAATCATGGTAACACCTAATATGATTAGTACCTAAGTAATGACGTTTATTGGTTTGGCAGCTTGCTTTGCCTTCTCTATTGCCTTTTATTTTGATTTTATATCAAGTATTTTCCTTGTTGATATCTAGTTTTGTTTGCTTTAGTGGTATATTTGTCCTATGCTTATTTAATGATGTTTAGTAAGTATTTGCGGAAGCCCGGTACTAATGTTTCCCCATTTGAAGCTTACAAGGGGTGGATTTCTTCAAACATTCTTGTATCTATATAGTTTTAAAATTTTCAAAATTTGTAAAAAAACAAAAAATAAGGTGTTTCATTTGTTTTGAAAATGTGTTTTCACTCTATCCTCTCTCCCCTGTCACATCCAGCCCCACCCTACCCTATCACCATATGCCTATTTGACTTTTTTTTTTTTTTTATCAGCAAAAAAGAACCTTTATTGATGAAAAAACCGAACAAAAAAGGAGATTACATCAAATAAAGGAGAGGAAGAGTAACAAGCATCATAGCAAACTAATCCAATCCCAACTAGGTTGGCACCGAGAAGAGAGCCCAATCATCTGCAAGTTCAACCCTAGGAGTTTGGTGAGGGACCAAACCCGAAGAGAAAGAAGACCAAAAACATGACACAACACTAAAAAGAGACAGATCCCAATCTGATCATACACCAAATCAGACCTGGGCACAGAGATAATGCCATAATGCTATCGGCAGATTACAGCAGAAAATATCCCATAAAACAGTAGAACCACCCATAGCAGCTGCCCTGGAATTTGAGAACTCATAGAGCCTCACTTTTGGAGAGAAGATGATGAGTGCAACTTCAGCATCACAAAGGACTGATAACTCAAAGGCCTTCTTGAGAAGCCCACTTCTGCGTTTAGATAAAGTCACTTGCCTACTTGTAGCCTTTTCTATCCTTTTCATCCGAGTTTTCCCTCTCACCATGCTTACAGTTACACCAATAAGCTGCACAAAACAAGCGTACAGGACAATGTAATATGACTTTAAGACCATAAAGGGTATTGGTGTTACGAAGGATTTGTTTACCAATCTTAATGTGGTCTTGCCTATCTACTAACATGAGATATGAATAAATAGTGATTAATTTGAGATTAGAGAGTCTGTTAATTTTAAATCTGGTGGGATTTTTTTCTTTAATTTTATTGATAAAAACAATGGGTTTACTTTTGTGTCGAAAGCATTATTAATTAATTTATTTATACTAATATTTAAAGGGAAACACCATTTGGTGTTCCCCTCAATTTAAAGTTGTGTAGATTTTTGTTTTTCCCAAATTATCAAAAAAAAATAAATAAATAAATAAATAATTCAATTACATATTATTTGAACAACTGATACTTGCATATTGTTGACAGGTAAATATGTAAACTCAATATTTTAAATAACTCCCCACAACTTTATCACATGATTGCTTAAAAGTTAAAACTATGAACTGTTATGGTTAGCAATTCAGCAACCTTAACCAAGGTCGTGAATCTTGTATTGTACCAAATGATACTAACCAAAATGTACCGTTTAACTAGAAAAATGGTATAGAAAACCTTTGATTCAGTGTCAGTTAAGTTATTGGATTGTTTTAGCCATCTCAATAATTTTTAGCGTTTTCCAACTGTACCATTTTGTACCTGTTCCTTCTGGTACATGTTGTTTTCATAGTTCTTACAAAGCAGGTCTTAAGAATTGAGAAGTGATAGCAATGCCAGGAGCTATCCATTGCAAACTACTGTGAATCTATATTGTAAGGTCAAGCAGTAACATGCCACACCATTAGCATCGAAGCTTACATTGGCTTTTTGTGTTTGTGTTCTCTATATACCCTAGATCTAAGAAGCACTGATATGGACATATGCGATATGACATGACATGAACATACATACACAACTTTCAAAAACTATAGGACACGACATGTGGGGAGCGCACACACACAAAAAAAAGTTTCATATATTTTTTATGTCATAATATATGAATATGTCATTTAAAGATAATAAAAAATTGCAACATAATGCTAATTTTTATAAATTTGCATTATTTTATTTTATTACCATAGGTTGCTCTGTTTGAACTTATGAGTAGTTTCATGTGTGTACAAGTGATGAACACGTGTGTCTCCCAAGTGCCTGAAGAATGTCCGGATCTAAAAATATTAAAAAATATTAGGACATGTTTGGATGAGTGTTCGATACATGTTGGAAAGTGTCTAATGAGTGTCAGTGTCTGACATAGGCACGCCACTTTCTTAGAAGTGTGTGCGCTTCTTAGTCCTAGATACATTTAGAGAGAGAATGAATATTATTAGGGTTTGGACATGTTTTAACATCTTGGGAAGAACTTTGGGACTATGAAAACTAGTTGGAAGTATTGAGATGTGTTTTATTCAACTGTGTTGTACCCTTTAAAATATGTTTTAAACAAAAGGTTTAATTGTGGTGCATGATCATCTCTTGGGGTGTTTGCATGCCCAACAAACAAAAGATTTAAAATATTATGAAAATTTCTAAAAGAATGATTAAAAGAATAATGACCAGATGGTAAAAGTGTTACATTTTCTTCAGCATACAAATTACGTTTAAAAAGTGTCGTATTCATACATAATCATATATGTTTTTATAATAAAATTTTAAAAATATAGTGATGAATCCAAAATTGTGATAATGTCAGGAAAAGATAATTGTAGTGATGCGTACGGCACCAATAGTAAAAACAGTACTACAGTTAGTACAGGATTCATAGCATTGACCTCAGTTGATGTTATTGCCATTTTTTGTAAAATTTTGTAAATTTACCTCCATTATTAAAATCAAAACATTCCCTTTCTTCTTGGTATGTAGAGAGCCACCTTACTGTAGAAAGGTCGTTTATGTATATATACATATAAAAATTTTCAAAGCATAGAGAACTTAGTGATAGAGTTTTTAGAAGCTTCACTTCTTCAGTTTTGGAAGAGAGAGACAATGGCTAATGCTAACACAAACATTGGTCACATTATTTGAACAACTTCTACTTACATATTGTTTATGGGTAAATATGTATAGTCAATATTTTAAATAACTCTGCACAACTTCATCACACTATTGCTTAAAAGTTAAAACTATGAGCCTTTATGGTTAGCGATTCATCAACCTTATCCAAGGTTGTGAATCTTGTATTGTACCAGACGGGACTATCCAAAATGTACCGTTTAAATAGAAAAATGGTATAGAAGACCTTTGATTCAGTGTCAGCTAAGTTATTGGATTGTTTTAGCCATCTCGACAATTTTTAGCATTTTTCGGCTGTACCATTTTGTACCTGTTCCTCCTAGTACATACATGTTATATTCATAGTTGTTACAAAGCAGCTCTAAGAATTGGGAAGTGATAGCGAGCCAATAGCTATCCATTGCCAACGACTGTGAATCTATATTGAAAGGTCAAGCTATAACATGCTATAACATGCCACACCATTAGTGTCCAAGCTTACATTGACTTTTTGTTTTTGTGTTCTCTATATTCCCTAGATCTAAGAAGCATAGACTTGGACACGCGACATGACACGAGCACACATACACAATTTTAAAAAAATGTAGGACACTACATGTGAGGAACACATACAAAATATATAGTTTTATGTATTTATTATGTCATACATATATATATATATATATATATATGAATTTTTCATTCAAAGATGATAAAAACTTGCAACATGATGCTAGTTTTTGTAAATCTACATTCTTTTATTTTATCAACACAGGTTGCTTTGTTCGAACTTATGATTAGTTTCATATGTGTGCAAAATGATGAACACATGTGTCCCCAAGTGTCTGAAGAATGTCGGGATATGAAAAAAATAAAAAATATTAGGACATGTTTGGATGAGTGTCCGATACATGTTAGAAAGTGTCTGACAAGTGTCGGTGTCCGACATAGACAATCCACCTTGTTAGAAGTGTTCGTGTTTTTTATCCCTAGATACATGTAGAGAGAGAATGAATATCATTTGGGTTTGGACTTGTTTTCACATCTTGGGAAGAACTTTGGGACTAGGAAAACTAGTGGGAAGTATCGAGACGAGTTTTATTCAAGTGTGTTGTACCCTTTGAAATTTGTTTTAAACAAAAAGGTTTAATTGTGGTGCATGATCATCTCTTGGGTGTTTTCTTTCCCAACAAACAAAAGATTTAAAACACTATGAGAATTTCTAAAATAATGATCAGATGGTAAAAGTGTTACATTTTCTTCAGCATATAAATTACTTTTAAAAAGTATCGCATTTATACATAAATATATATGTTTTTGTAATAAAATTTAAACAAAAATGCCTTAGATCCCCAGTGGGGGTGACCCCCACTGTTTTTTGATTGGCTCAAATTTTTTTTTTTCAAGTCTTGCTCTCACAGCCCCCACGTGGAGGTGGGCGTGCTGGGGTCACCCCCCACTGGGGTCCCCAGCACTATTGAAATTTAAAATCTATAGTGATAAATCCAAAATGGTTTGAAGAAAAGATAACTGTAGCGATACGTACGGCACCAATAGAAAAAACAGTACCAGTCTGTATGGGATTCATAGCATTGGCCTAAATTGATGTTATTGCCATTTTTTGGAAAATTTTGTGAATTTACCTCTATTATTAAATTCAAAATATTCCCTTTCTTGAGATATGCAGAGAGCGACCTTACCGTAGAAAGGTAGTTTATGTATATAAAATTACAAAAATATTCACAGCATAGAGAACTTAGTGAGATTTTTTAGAAGCGTCACTTCTTCAGTTTTGGAAGAGAGAGAGACAATGGCTACTGCTAACACAAACGGCAGTACATTACTGGATTTTTTGGCTGTTTCGACTCACTCTGGCCATTTCATTGAACATTTGTATACAACATATTTGGGTAATCTCTTCCAGTTCATGGCAAAGTGCTGGCCACCGATTATGCCTATTGGTTGTGGTGCTAATGGAAGTGTGTGGTAATTGATCGATTCAATACATTTTTGGGATAGAAATATGTGTGTAGAATATGAATCGAGCTCAAAGATTGCCCTCAATTCTTCTTCCATAAACAATGTCTGATTGGGCTGGATCAATAATAGTAGGGAGGAGGGACTTCAATTGTATGTATTTAAATTACACATTGCAACTTCAAATTGTTTTTTGTCTTTCTTCTTTTCGTCTGTTTCAACAATGCTGAGTTTGGTTGGAACTTCTAATATTTTTCTTCTAAATAATTTTTTTTCCTTTTTTGGTGGGATAGACAGATCAACATTAATTCTATGCCTCCTTGGATATGCATCCAAATTGCAAAATTGCAAATCATCACATAAAAAGTTTTTTGAGATGTCAAGTGAACACATTTTATGAGTCACTCACAGGACAGTTTTTTTTTTTTTTTTTTTTTTTTTTTTTTTTTTTTTTTTTTTTGTCTATCCACAGTTGATCAAGAAAATAGGGATGTGTTTATATTTCTGCTAGTGTTGAAAGAGTTGTATTTGAAGTTTTATTGTTCTTGACCGGGTATCCCATATAGAAAGAAGAAAAGTAAATGACCACTGCATGTTGAACAATATCCTGAACTGATATTAGGAAACCAAAGGAAGAAAGTATTAAAAACAAAAATAACTAGGGCAAATTTGATTTGGAAATAACCACAAAGCCTCTTGTGTTTTGTGGACTAATGTGCACCATTAAATATTCTGTCAAACTTAATAGCAAACATAAAACATGTGCCAAACATAAGGTGATTATGTGCTCATTTTTAAATTTTAAGGGGGTAAATCACGCATGGAATAACGTATAAGGGGTTATAGTGCATTTTGTCTTCCCAATAAATGGCGAAAATATTCGTAGTTCACATACTTAGGTTACTTATACACAGG